TCTTCCCTGACCACAACAGGACAAAGTTAGAAATCAATAATAGAAGGAAAATTTAAAAATTGAGCAATACATTCTTAAACAACCACAGGTCAAAGAAGAAATCAAGGGAAATTAGAAGGTACTAGAGACCAGTGAAAATGAAAACAGCATACTAAAACTTCTGAGACACTTCGAAAGCAATCCTAAGGGGGAAATTTATAGCTATATTACATTAAAAAGGAAGAAAGATTTCAAATCAACACCTTAACTTTACAACTTAAGAAATGAGAAAAAGAACTACATCCAAAGTTAGTAGAAGGAGGAAATAGTAAAGATTAGAGCAGAGATAAATAATGGAGAATAGAAAAACACAAGAAAATCAACAAACCCAAAAGTCAGTTATTCAAGAAAACTAACAAAATTGACAAACCTTTAGTTTGACTAAGAAAAAAGGACAGAAGAAGCAAGTTACTAAAATCAAAATTAAAGTGGGGACATGACTATCAATTCTAGAGAAATAAAAAGGGTTATAAGACTGCACTATGAACAACCGTATGCCAACAAACTGGACAACCTAGATAAAATGGGCAAATTCCTAGAGACACAAAATATTGAATTGCAAAGAAATACAAAATCTGAATAGATCCATAATTAAGGGGACTGAATGGGTAATCAAAAACCTCCTGACCAAAACCAAACAGCCCTGAACCTGTTGGCTTCACTGGTGAATTCTACCAAACCTTTAATGGAGAACACCAATCTTCTTCAAACTCTTTTTAAAAATTGAAGAGAACACTTCCAAACCCAAGTGATGAGGCCAGCCAGCATCATGCTGACACAAAAATCTTGACTCAATATCTGAGAATAACAGCAGAAGTTTTTTAAAAGGGCAATACATTCACTTACGGTGTCATCAGACGGATATTAAAATTCCAAGGTATCTATTCATGTTCTCTCAGGTGACCACCCAGATATTTGTATTTTTGCCTCAGTTTGGTAAATGGCATAGTTTTGAGTTTTTATAATACAATTTTTTTTTCCCAGCAAAGTCCTTCCCCAACAATGATGCTCACCAAGGCCATGGCACCTGCCACACTCTTCTGCACATAAAATGCCCTCAATACCCATGGAACTGGGTTGAACCAGGAACAAAACAAGCAGCAGAGGTTGGTGTGTACCAAGACAGTAAGTAGGTACCACAGATAAGACTGAAAGCCTACAATTCAGCAGCGAACATTTTACATTTATTTGAGAAATTATTTGCAACTAGTTCATCAAAAGATGCTGGTTTAAAGCAGTGGCTTTTCAGCCTTGACCACACAATATAACCACATAGAGAGCTTTAAACGACACCGTTGCCTGGGTCCCACTCCAGGGAATCCAATTTAATAGGTCTGTTGTAACTTGGGTTTTGGGAATTTTAAAAGCTCCCCAGGTGATTTTAATGTGCAGCCATGGATATGGACCACTGGTTCAGAGTGAGGGATGCATTAGCTGTGTGTGATTTCCATGTGTGCCCCATGGCAGTTCCTCAGTTTGGGGTCTTGGAAACAGCTTTGCCCTGTGAAAATCAAAGGACTGCTTCAATACACAGTCAGCTGTTTGTCTAAATTGCAGCAGGTGGAAATGTCTTCTCAGCAGATCTATCTTTATGTTGCCTGCTTTTCAGAGTAAGAGGTTGTTTCAGGCACCGTTTGATTTAGCTTGCTTTGAAAATCATAAATAGCCTACAAATACTAAAAATGGACGAAAAGAATTTGCAAACATATGGAGTGCACTATATGTGTTTTCAAATTTCCCCTATAATTAGAAATAAAAAATATATTGCTGGAGCCTTGATTTCTAAACTCAGCCCTCAGCTGTTTCCCTAAGTTATTTTAAGTTCTTCCAAGACAGTTCAGCTTTCTCTGGAGGGAATTATACCCAATGGGTATAAGTGAAGAGCCCTAGATGGGCATTTACAGAAGTGTCACTCTCCAGAATCTTGAAGGAATAGGGGAGATGTATGAGTACTGTGGTCTATAGAGGTGTCTGGGCTTTGGAATCAAGTATAGTTGATACTACTGAGTTACAACCTAGTCACTTAGTAACTTCAAGGTTTTGAATTTGATTTGGAACAATTAGGTAAACCTCATCTGCAAGAAAAGGCATAATGATACTGATTGAAAAAATAAGAACAATTCTTCATACTTCCCTATCTATGACCTTTGCAATGAGATTTTATAGCTGCTCCCATAAACAGAATTTGTTTCCCCAAGTCTTGTATCTGGGCTGGCCTTATTTACTCTGGCCAGCAGAATGCAGAGAGTATGACAGTGTGCCAGTTTCAGGGTTAGGCTCAAAAGATCTTGAATGCTTCTGCTTTTTCTTTCAGTATGCTTTTCATCTCCATGAGAACAAGCCCATGTTAGCCTGCTGGAGGAAGAGATACCATAAGCAGGAGAATCAAGGTACCCCAGTTGACAGCCAGCTCACCCCCAGAAGCAGAGCAAAACACACACACACCACACACACCACACACATGGAGCTGAGCTGAGACCAGAAGAATGGCCTAGCTGAGCCCAGCCTAAATTGCTAACCAGCTCAATTATAAGCTAATTAAGTTTTGGGATGGTTTGTTATGCAGCAATAGCTAACTCATACACACACCCATTGCAGATGGGACTCAATGACATGTTGATTACAAGTTACTGGTAAACAGCAGGCTGCCTCTACATTCTGATTTCCTTTTCCCCCTATTAAAGTTGGATCTCTTGGGTTGTACAGAAATGCATATAGATATGTGTGTATGTGACTGGTGCTTCAACTCACACATTTCCCCACTCCAAAGAGGAAACAGACAATCATAGCCTGGCACTCAGGCCCCAAGGCCAAACTGCAAAATAAGAAATTTGCTTTCCCAGATGCAGTGGCTCGTGCCTCTAATCCCAGCACTTTTGGAGGCTGAGGTGGATGATCACTTGAGTCCAGGAGTTCAAGACCAGCCTGGGAAACATAGAGAGACCCAATCTCTACAAAAAATACAAAAATTAGCTGGGTGTGGTGGCACACACCTGTAGTCCCAGATACTCAGGAGGCTAAGGTGGGAAGATCACTTGAACCTGGGAAACAGGGGTCGCAGTGAACTGAGACTGCACTCCATCCTGAGGGATAGAGTGAGACCCCATCTCCAAAACAGTAACAACAGTGACAGTTTGTTTTTAGTCTATTCCTCCCATATCTAAGGTCTGCAGGTCAAAGCTGTGAATAGATCAGAAGGCATGAGATTTCCCTCTCCTGGGACCCCATCGTCCTTTGATCACTTCCATTTTTCACATATTCTCTTCTTCCAATGTGATTAGGGAATGAGGCCAAGATTAAATTTGAAGCTCTCAGAGACCACAAGATTTTTCTTTCCAAGGTTTACCAGCACTTTAGTTTCTAACATCACAAATACTAACTGCAACCCAGTGTGGTGACTCACGCCTGTAATCCCAGCACTCTGGGAGGCCAAAGTGGGTGGACTGCCTTCTCTAGTTTGAGAAGCATGTAGTAACATACTTGATTTTGCCCTGAATCAGTAACGTACCGCATGCTGGGAGCCGCAGTCTCTTAACCGCTCCAAGCCCGTGACAGAAAAACTAAATGGAAAAATGACTTAGGAGAATTATCACTATAACCCCCAGAAACACCACATTGTTAAAAGCGGTTCTGAAGGCTATTGAAAAGGGAAATCAATAGTAGTTTCAAAGGAGTCCTATTGTAAGGCAAAAATTGTGCTTTACCGTCCCGCACAAACCTCCCTGATGTTTTGGGAAGGGCGGAGGCAAACCTTTAGTCCTGTTGGCCTGTGTTAATAATGGCCAAGAGGTCCTCAGTGGGTAACAGAGTCCTGTGAAGCAAACAGTGTGAGAAGTCAGAAAAGCAGCTGGGTGTGGACCCCCCAAAGCAGCTTAGGGGGTTACTTAACTGTGCGGCTACATTTGTTGACCACACACTAAAGGAACTGGGCCTTTCCATGCGATGTTTTCCTTTCATAACGGTGGCAGGAAGCGGTCCCTCTGAAGGACCTGACCGAGGTATGTGCCGGCGCCAGGCCGGGGTCCAAGGGGCGCTCCGAGGCGGGGCCCATAGAGGGTTTAGG